CCACGAAGGGGTGAAGGAGAAATGCACCTGCTGTACTGTAGGGAGTGGGGGCCATCTCCCCTACGTATCTGCACCTGCTCACCAGCCCACTGGCCAGTGGAGTGAGCCTATCTCAGCGCTCACAAACACAGCAACACAAACCATCACCCACATCTCCAAGAATGCTATGGTCCAGCTCTAAGGTTGCCACAACTAGACAGCAGCAGGACCCATCGACAGTACAGGAGTGGCAGGCTGCAGACTAGGAACTGTCTGTGGCCAGAAGCAAGAGAAGCTTCAAATCTGAACAAGGGAAAACCACAATGAAAGCCAGAACTGAAAACTTGAATGAATTCTTAAGCGGCTTTACTGTGGTATCACTGCATGCATCTACAGTGCACCTCCAAATAGTAACCAATGAAAGTCCGTTTTATAACAAGAGAATGTTGTCTAATTAAGTCAGCAAACATGAGGGAGACCCTCAATGGCATGGCCGAGACCACAGCTGCACTAGAATAGATGTGATGGCATCAACTGGCTTTCAGGGAAGCAGATGGCCCTCCCTACTGTGGGTGGGCCTCAGCCATCGGATGGCCCTCCCTATTGTGGGTGGGAGTTCTGGTGGAACTCCTGGCTCCTCACACTGCCTGACCTGCCAGAACTGGAACAGAGGGCTGCTGGTACCGCTATGCAGCCTGTTGCCTGATCGATGCACTGTGGACTTAACAGATTCACACGTACGTGAATCAATTCATCAAAACAAACCTCCCTCTCTTTATATGCACCCCCCCGCCCCCCCACTACACATCTACTACACACATCTGTTTCTCTAGAGAACCCTAAGACAGATGCCAATTCTCAGATTCAGCATATTTATCAAATGCCAACAAGAGGACTTAAAAGAAATCTACATCAAGCTCTACTGAAAAACCAGAGGATTATTCACCCTTATTTCATTATATCTTAAAACTCCACTAAAGGACAGTAAAGGGATATATATTTTTTAAAACATTAACATAAAACCACAAAAGCAAGAGTGGAGACAATACAATGTTTGGACCCTGAGAAGAGTGGGTGAGACGTGACTCTAGTTGGCTTAGAGCAGCCTCAGTCCAGGAGAGGTGAGAACACCCAGACCGCTGGCGACACCACGTACTCCACCCCCTGCCCTGCCCCTGCCCCGAAGCCTGGAGCAGATGAAAGCACACAGGCCCCTGAGGGCAATGGATGTGGGGTCCCCAAAACAAGGCAGACTGAGCCAAAGAGGCTTAAGAAACACGTGACTTCTCCGTCTCCTGTCCAACTCCACGTGCTGGTTACCGGCGTTCTCCTGCCTGGCACCAATCCACGCTCTAAATAAATGACATGTGACCTGGCCTGGGCGCTGAAGGCACAGAGGGGTCCTGGGTAGCATACAGAAAAGAAAGGTACACAGGCGCACACTTTACACTTACGGTTCAGCTGAATTCCCACAAAGGTTCTCTCTCAGAGAGGAAAGAAAAGTCGTCTCCACAAATGGTGTGCAGACAACTTGATATCCGCATGCAAAAGAATGAATTTGGAGTCTGACTTCACACCATACATAAAAATGAACACAAAATGGATCTAAGTCCTAAATATGAGAGTCAAACTATAAAACTCCTAAGACATATGGGGCAGGGTCAAGAGGCCATAGCCTAACCGGGTGGTCAGAAATACAACGGGGCTTTCAGAGTTCATAAGAAAATGGACGAAAAGCTAATGGCAGTTTCTCATGGATCCCGACTGTAAGCTGCTTGGCTGGGGACGTACCTCCAGGAGCGGACTGGAATGTAGCTGGGCAAAAGGGAGTTCCCACAGGCCTGACGACTCACCTTGGAAAGGCCTGCTCACAAGGTGGACTCTTGGCCAGTGGATTTCAGGACGGTTCCCAGTACTCCTTAGCTCGTAAAGGTGGCTTCTGGTACCTAAACTACTTGTGCAAACAATGTGGTGTCTGCACCACACTTGCTGTGAGTCTGGGATCCTGGAATGTGCCAGGCAGACGTGCCCAGGTGCCTAGCACCAAGTCTCTTAAGAGGGTCCCTGATGGGCAACCTTTGACACATGTGTCATTCCTCCCTGCTGGAGGAATTGGGGGGGGGGGGGCGCTGCCCTAAGTGACTCCACCTGGTTAGCCCTGGACTCCGCCCCTCATGCCTTTCCCCTCTGCTGGTTTGGGCTGGTTTGTCTGTAATGAATCACAGCTGTGAGTAAAACGAGACGTTGTTTCAGTAGATGAAGTGCTGCTGGGATTGTTCTGACTCCTAACTACCAAGGATAGAGTTCTTGAGAAGTGGTTAGTGGGTTTGAACTGCCAACCTTGAGATTAGCAGTCTAGTGCTTATCCTATTGTACCACACCAGGACTCTAAAACTATATGAGGAGGCTTCAAAAAGTTCATGAAAAAATTCCGTTTTCTTTTAGTTCCCTGATTCCAATAACATGTTGAAGACCCCTCATCTATGAAGAGAAGAAATCATTTTGCCCTTGTAGCAAAGTCCAAGCAGCAGGTGGGTTAACCTGACTTTTCAGGGCACCTCCTACATCAGCTGCTGCTGAGAGGGTGCGTCACACCACCTTGGCATCCGGCCCACACTCCCTCCCTCCTTCCAAGGGCTGCCTCCCCCAGTCCTACTCCCAGAGCACCCAGCTCAGGCCAGGCACACACCAGAACCTGTGGGAAGGAGTCTTCTAAAGCCTGCTATAAAAATGCACGGGAACATGCCCCGTAGGTAATCAAGTGCTCTACAGAGATAGTGCAGGGGTGCGTGCCAGACAGGAAATAGTACCATCTGTCATGGGATGCTTCCAGCACACAGCCACACCTCTAGACTAGGTCTCCTACTTTCCTCTAATTATAAACTCACACGTAGACCACACACATTTCCTGATGCCACTGCACCCCTTTCCTTCTGAGCCCTTCCAACGTCACGTACACACGCCCCTCAACACACAGCCTGCTCAGTCTTTCTGCACCTTCCCTGCACTTTAGATGGTGGCAAGTCTGAGCACTCAAACGGAGCTGCAAAATTCTGCTGGGCCAGTAAGTTCTGGAAGCTTGCTGCAGTGTGTGATAGGCACTGGGACCTTCTGAATGAGAAGCCCCACCTCAGACCTTGTGAGGCAGCACTTCACCAATGGGGTCTGAGACCTCCAGAAGCCAGTCCTAGGGGCTCCAGGCTTGAAGAGGCTTTGTATGACAGAAAGCAGGAGTGAGAAAAGGATTTGTGGAATGACCTTTAGACTCTGGAATGTAAGGAAGGAGACTCGTAACCTTGACATTAGGAGTATTGCTTCCCAAGAGGCAAAGGGGCAACGAGAAGGAGATACTGCCCCGTACACCACCTGTCTCACAGGTGGCTTTCAACTTTATAACCAATCCACAGGCAAGACCTACAAACTGTCATCATAGTTAATGGAACACAAATGTTATCAATCTAGACAACAGACAAGTATGATATGGTTGAAGGGGAGTCCTCGGGCAGCACTTGGCTACTAACGGAAAGATTGATGGTTTGACTCTATTGATCGGTATGACTCGGAACTGACTGGACAACAACAACATCAGAGGTCTCCTGGAAGAAAGACCCAATAATCTACTTCCAAAAGGTCGCCGCCATTGAGACCCTATGGAGTGCCGTTGTAGTCTAAAGCACACAGACGGGGTTGCCTTGAGTTGGAGTCAACACAATGACAACTGGTTTGTTTTCCTCCTCCTCCCTCAATAGCTGAAGGAGCTGAAAGGCAGTTGGAGGAGAGGGGAAATGGAGAAAATAAAGGGGGATTCATAACTTTACCTAATAAAGAGGGGCCATCCCTGAAAGTTGAATGAAAGTTGACAATACAAAGAAATACAGATTTATCATTTAAAGTCACAAAGGGAGCCAATAAGAGAATTGAAATAGCAATTCACTAATAAAGTTGGAAAGCAGAGAAGAAAAGTAACTTGCTCAAAGCTAGCTAGACAAAAAACTCTAACGCGAGTGTTTGGACATGGGCCCTTCATATCTCAGACACTTGTTCTCTACCATCTGTAACTGGGCAAGCCCCCTGCTAGCAAGTTAACCTGCCCAAGGCTGCATATCTAGTTAGAGGCAGAGCCACAAAAAGCAATCAGCTAATTTTCTAGTCTTGGAAGTATTTAGAATTAAAAATATTTGGAAGGAGTGCAGTCAGAATGCTCCTTAGAACTGAGGACAGCAAGACTTTGCCTCTCATACTTTGGATGCGTAGAGTGGCAGGACCAGTTTTGGAGAAGGATATCATTCCTGGAAAAGTAGAGCGAGGGTCAGCAAAAAAGAGGAAGCCCCACAGTGCGACGGATTCCCATGGTGGCTGCATCAGGGGCTCAAACATAACAAGTGTGAAGCTGGTCCAGGACCGGGCAGTGTTTGGTTCTGCTGTTACGTTATGAGTCAGAGCCGACTAGATGGCACCAAACAATAAAAGTATTTGAAAACGTTATTAATAAAATTTCCAGAGAAGACATAGCGACACTTTCTCTACCTGCTCACTCTAACACCCCAGCGTTTCTCAAGAAGAACCCTCTCCTCGGACATCTCACCTATGGTCAGGGCTCAGCTTTGTGCCAACCCTCCACACCAAAGTGGCTAAGGGGATCGTTTCTCCTACAGTTAACCTTGAGAAGACATCAACATTAACTCATTCTTCATTTTGTAAACCTGACAGAAGGGTCACAAGATCAACTCTTAGTGCAGACACTGACCATGTGTGGCCACAGGGCAGTGCATCGTCACATGCCCAGAAAGGCAATGCTGGAGGCCAGTCTAGACCACTCTCTCCAGGGCTCGGGCCACAGGTGTGGACTGGTGAGCCCACCGTGGCTGAGTCTAGTTTAGGGCATACAATGCTTCCATTTCCATTTCCATAGAAATGACCATTTTTAGGCCAGAAAGTATTTTAAAATCAATGATAGGCTGAACTTAATAATACCTGTAAAAAGCAATTTAAAAGATTCCATTTAATCTACTATTACTCACCCCATTTTCAGTGCGTTTTTCTCCCGGTACATTGATGACATTTCTCTGAGTTCTTTGCTCTTGAGTCTGACGGCCACCTAAAGACATCAAAGTACCACACTTACTAAATGACACGTGAATAAAGGGATACTCGCCCAGGCCCTCTTTGATTCTAATGGGCACGGTGTGGAATACCAGGCTATTTCATAAGAGGAAAAGCTGCATCACTGGTCAGCTTTCATAAAGGATTCTGAGTGCCATCTTTTTCTTTTACATTCTCTTTTAGGACCCTAAAATTGACACATCAAATGACTTTTACAATTTGGTAGCGTAGTGGTTATGAAATGGACTGCGAACTGCAAGGTCAGCAGTTCGAAACTACCAGCCGTTCCACGGGAGAAAGATGAGGCTTTCTGCTCCCATAAAGATTTACAGCCTCAGAAACCCTGTGCAGGGTCGCTATGAGTCAGAACTAACTCCACAGCACATAACAACAACAACAACAAAATAGACCATATTACCCAGTAATGAAAAACCAAATGGATACAAAAACTTAATCCTCATTAAACTTCGAGGAAGTGGTGACAATGTTCACAGCCCTTGAGTTGGTTCCGATCTGTAGAGACCCTGTTATAAGGTTTCCAAGGAGCAACTGGTGAGCTTGAACCACCGACCTTGTGGTTCAAACTGCCTTTGCAGTCCAACCCATTAACCTACAGTGCCACAGCAGGGCTCTAATTGAAAAGGTACACCATGCCAAATGGGCAATCTTAGGAATTCCGTATGGTTATCGGGCCAGACTTCAAGTCTAACTGGAAAGTCACTTCCATGCCATCACACTTGTTGCATGAAATCAAGCAGAATGGCGCAGCACTGTAGCAGGTAAACCGGAAGGCCTACAAGCCCATGTCTCTGGTGTGGTGTGTGCTTGGTTCCACGTGACTCCCACAACCCAGCATTTATGTGAAGCTTTGCTTGGGATTCTCCCACCTCAGGACCTGGCTCGGTCCTGGACTATATGACTTCCTATAGAGAATTTGGCTTTAAAAAGCTACAAACTTCCTTACATCGGTCATCTAACAATGTGGAAGTTTTACAAGAAACGGTTGAAATATTTGAAATCGCTAAACTTGCATTTGCCTCAACATAAAAGCCTCACTTTGAAACATCCCCAGTGAGCAGACGCTCACACCATTAGCAGGCAGAAGACATCCAAAGATTAGAGACCTGGTGGATGCTGGAGCAGAGGAAGAAAGCCCAGGCAGTGTCTCCTGACATGGGGTCTTCCCACTCTCCCACCCTTTCTCCTATCTTCTCTCTTGACATGGTGTCTTCCCACCCTTTCTCCTATCTTCTCTCCTGACATGGGGTCTTCCCACCCTTTCTCCTATCTTCTCTCCTGACATGGTGTCTTCCCACCCTTTCTCCTATCTTCTCTCCTGACATGGGGTCTTCCCACTCTCCCACCCTTTCTCCTATCTTCTCTCCTGACATGGGGTCTTCCCACTCTCCCACCCTTTCTCCTATCTTCTCTCCTGACATAGGGTCTTCCCACTCTCCCACCCTTTCTCCTATCGTTTTGAAGCCATGGAGAAGACATCAGAAGCTACGCATTTCCTTTGATTTAACCTGAGACTGAAGTTGCTGCTCTTTGTGAGTTTAACATTCTTTTAGTTAGATATTTTATATTGAGACCGATGTCGATTCATATGCCGGTTTAAGAAGTGATACCAAGACTGTCATGCCCTTTACCCAGTAAACATCACAACAAGGGTCCTGACAGAACATAGAGACAGAACATTCCAGCAACACGAGGAACCTCATGCGGCTCTTTTACAGCATCCCCACTTCTCTCTCACTTGTACCACAGCCTCAGCCCCAGGCAACCACTAACCTGTTGTCTATGTCTTTAATTTTATCATTTCAAGAGTGTTACATAAATGGAGTCTCAGAATAATTCTCTGGAGAGTCACCAGGCTATTGGTGCCAGCCATAGTTTATTTATTTGGACCCCTAATGGGGCTATAGGATCAGCACTGAGCTGTGAACCACAAGATCAGCAGTTCAAACCCACCAACTGCTCCATGAAAACCCTATACAGGGTTGTTATGAGTTGGAACCGACTGGACAGCATCCATGGTATGGATGCACCACATTTTAACCGTCGACCTGTTGAACACCTGATTGTTTCTAATTTTAGGCAAAAATCAGAAGCTATAAACATCAGATAATGTGCTAGATCACAAGGTCAGTCTGAACCATAAGGTTGGCAGTTCAAAACTATCAGCTGCTCCTCAGAAACCCTATACAGGGTCATGATGGATTGGGACCGGCTCGACAGCACTTCACATCAGCTTTTATGTGAATGAACGTAGTCTAATTTCTCTGGGGTAAATATCCAGAAGTGTATTTTCTGGGTCACATGCTGAGCTTTTAGAGAAACTGTCAAAATTGTTTTCAGGAGCAGCCATACCATTGACCCTTCTCATCACTAATGTAAAAGTGATCCACTCTCTCCACATTCATACCGGAATTTGCTCTTACCACTGATTTTCCTTCACCGTTTAGATAGCTATGTGATGGTCGGTAGCCCGCTGTGGTTTTGTTTTGTTTTGCATTTTCCTAATGGCTAATGGAGTCCTGGTGTGGTGCTGTAGGATAAGCGCAGGACCAAAGGTCAGTTTGGAACAAAAGACTCTCTTGGAAACCCTATACAGAGTCAACGACACTTAGCAATAACAACAACAAATGCCTTGTTCTGGACTCCTGGTGTGGCGCTATAGGATAAACACTAGACTGCTAACTACAAGGTTGGTGGTTCAAACCCACCAGCCACTCCTACACTGGCTTGCTATGAGTCAGAACCCAGGGGTGGCACCTCGCTACCAGAACATGCTGTATTCCAGCTTTTAATCAGCTCTCTGGCTTGTAAGCCTGTCTGTGGTCTCTTCTAATGCTTTCTGGCTCCACATCCAACACCCAATAAGCACGTAGATGGGTCATCATTTTCAGATGCCATCAACTGACGGGGAATTCTTTCTCCTCTGCTCTTGGACCCTAAACTCCGGCTGTTTAGGAAATAAACTGGGAAGAGAAGTACAGGAAACAAGGAAGCAGCAGCAACAACAAAGCAGGACAAAGCACCCAAGAGAGCGGCGCTGTCTGTCTTTTTCCCTCTCCTTGAGCTCTGTGGAGTAGGCAGAGGGACGGCTGACAGAGGCACTGGAGACAACGTGCAGGGAAGAAGCTGGCTAATGACAGAAGCGAGAAGAGAGCATCAGCTGAGCCCATGAGGAGGCTTCTCCTACAAATGAAAACGAATGCAGCTGAGGTGGGGCCAGCTGGAGCCAGGCGCTATGCTGACTGCTCTGCAGGGGTGAACGCTGTGTGAGCCATCAGTACCAGCCCCAGTGGAGCAGGCCTAGGCCTGGTCACTAGAGACCCACTCAGTTTCCACCAAAGTAAGGAACATCAACTCCACAGCCACCATTCCCGCCCACCCTCTGAGACAGAAGAGCAACTAGCCTTAACATTTTCTAAACTTTATAGAAGGAGAATAAAATAAGACCTACCTTCCCACCCAGGGACAACAAGGGTGTGGATGTCTATAGTACAGGGATACAAACCAACCTTTTTCTATCTAAACATAGCTAGGCAAGTGAGTCTGACCCATAGCACCCCTAGGGATAGAGTAGCAGTGCCCGTCGATGGCTGAGTCTGGCAATCTTTATGGAAGCAGACTGTCGCAGTCTTCTCCTGCGGACAGCTGGTGGGCTAGAACCACAGACCTTTCAGTGAGCAGCCCAACATTTAACTCCCTGTACCACCAGAGCTAGGAATCGGAGATGATTCGATGGCAGTGAGTTTGGCTTTTATTATTTTTTTGGCAAGTGAGGGCATAACTGTATCTGGAGATCTCAGGCAGAGTTAAACAAATAATCAGCACTCTAATGATCTGTTCCTTCAACTCACCTAAGGAGGGGTTTGCCCAGTGAGGAAGGGACTTGTTTAAGGTGAAACTGAGCTGAGAGCTGAGCCAAGAGGCCAGTGGAATAAACTCCAGACATAACGGTGCACTTAAAAACCAGCATCATAACAATATTTACAGCTACTGGAGGAGTCCTGGTGTGGCACTGTAGGATAAACACTGTTGGTGGTTCAGAAACCCTACACATGGTCGCTATGAGTCAGAACTGATTTGACAGCACTTCACAACAACAACAACATGGAAGGATACTGTAGACCACTGTTGTTCTTAGTGGCATCAAGTCAGTACTAATTCACAGCGACCCTGTGAACAACAGAACAAACACTGCCCGGTCCAGGGCCAACGTCACAATCGCTGCTACACCTGAGCCCATCACTGCCGCCACTGTGTCAGTCCACCTCGCTGGGGGTCTTCCTCTTTTTCTCTCACCCTCCACCTTACCAAACATGATGTCCTTCTCCAGGGACTGGTCCCTCCTGACAGTATGTCCAATGTATGAGAGACAAAGTCTGGCCATCCTGGCCTGCAAGGAGCACTCTGGCTGCACTTCTTCCAAAACAGATCTATTGGTTCTATGGGCAGCCCATGGCACTTTCAATATTCTCCTCCAACACCGTAACTCAAAGGCATCAATTCTTCTACGATCTTCCTTATTCACTGTCCAGCTTTCACACACATATGAGGTTTGGCTCAGGCGCACTTTAGTCCTCAGACTGACATCAGTGGACCATACATAGCTCATCTCAATATTTTCTTTAAAGTAAAATACAAACAAAGTAAGGGAACATGCAACAATGGCATCTTTATAAAAGGATGCCTTTGTGTTGCTTTGACTTCATTTTTATTAAACACTAGACGTACTCCAAGATCTTGTTACAATTCAAACACAACTAAAGTATATAAAATAACAAGTTAAGAGTATACTCAGTTAATTGTACAGTGTGTATTCTTCCCAGAGTGAGGTGATTTCCTTATTTATTATTTTAATTTTAATTAAAAATTATGATTAGGATTCCTGTGATTCAAAACTCACAGGAATAAGGTCTGGAATGGAAGCCTGTGTCCCCTCCAGGTTAGCAGGACTGCCGGTTTCCTGGGTGACTTCTGAAGGGTCTTGTCCTTTACACACATACTCAGGATCAGCAGCAACATGGACACATCATTTTTTGTCTCTTTTATGTGGTGTGCACATGCCTGTGCATCTTTGCACCTCCTCACTATGCTGGTGGAATATGGCAGTATGGCCAGCTACTCCGCTGGACTCCATGGCTGGGCATTTAGCTTGCTGATAGCAGCAGGACACACATGGCTCTGTATGTGTGCAGGTACAGCTTTAGAATACGTTCTCAGACATGAGACTGCTTGTGTAAGTTTAGCCGGTACTCCCAAATGGGTCACTACAAAGGCTGCCAGTTGCTTTTTCTCCTCACTCCTGCCATACTGCTCCTCTTCACCGACCTGAGCCTTAAGCTTAGCAGCTCCAGGTACTGCTCCACGGTGTCTCTCCTTAGGAGTAACGCGGAGCATCTTTTCCTAGATCACTGTTGTTGTTGTTAAATGTGTCAAGTCAGTTCTGACTCAGAGTGATCCTGTACACGGTTTCCAAGGAGTGGCTAGTGGGTTTGAACCACCAACCTTGTGGTTGGCAGTCCAGTGCTTATCAAACAGTGCCACACCAGGACTCCTCATATATCCTAGGGTCAGTATATTTCTTTTACTGTGAAGTATGGTGTCTTCATATATTTTGTCTGATTTGCTATTGGATTCTTTACTATTCAGTTCTAAGAACTTTTTCTACGTAAAGGAAATGAGCTCTTTGTAGTATGAGTCGTTTCTCAGTTGAACTTCCTTAATCCTTTTATGAGTTCTTTGTTTTAAAATCTAGATATTTATCCCTCCTGGTATTTATCAAAAGAATTCTTTCAAATAGCAAGTTCCTTACCATGTCTGCATACATGCTCTGACTGACTTCGAGTCCTGAGGAGGGCCAGAGGCTGGATGGCTAAACAGCAAACCGCAATCACAGAATTCGAAGGAACACAACACTCCAACTCGCCCTCTCTTCACGTGAGACAGGTGAAAGCTGTGAATACTTTAATACTGATTCCTACTTTTCTATAGGCTTTAGGACACAAATGAACAAACAGGAGGACATAACATGTGTTTACCTTCTTCACTGCTTTCAGCTGGGGAATCTTCATGTCGAAGGAAAAATTTTACTTCTTCTCTTCGTGGCCCCCACTTCTGAAGATGTTCATACATCATATGATCAAAGGGTATGGGGCGTTCTAGAAAAAACACCAATACATCACATTTACCTCAACAACAAGATATTCTTAGCAAAAACAAAAACGAAATGAACCCCTGAGACTACGGCCCTTAGTCAGTCTGTTGGTCAGGAACTGAACTTGCCCTCGTGGTTCAATTTTCAGTCAAACAATAGCCAAGTCTATAAGAGGAGCAAGAACACCAGAGAGATAGGACACACTCCTTAGAATCATCAACCATATAAAAGATGGGCAGCATTCATCCAAGGACAAAATTCAGAAGGTTCAGGAAAGGAGGAATGAAAATGGGAAACAATGAAAACAAAAAAATAAGTAAATGTACAAACATATATATATGGGGGTCTTGGTGAGATGCTACTGGAAAACTACTGGACTGCAAGGTCTGTGGTTCAAATCCATCAGCAACCCTATACAAGGTCACTAAGAGTCGAAACCGACAGTTGACACTTAACAACATAATAGCACACACATACACATATTACAATTCAAGGATGTTCCGAGCACCGGATTTTAATTTTCATGAATAAAATCAGGCTTATAAATGGGAAATAATTAGGCAACATATAAATACAAGTAAGAATAGTGGTGGCTGTAGAGGAGAAGCACTGGTGCTCACAGGATCAAGCCCACCAGTCCCTTGAGCAAGAAAGATGAGGCTTTCTGCTTCCAAAAAGATTTACAGCCTCGGAAACTTTCTACGGGGTTGTTATGTGTCAGAATGGAACCAGCTCAACAGCATTTCTCTTATCAAGATGACTTTTGAAATTTTCTGTCCAGCTCTTTTATTTCCTCATTTCTTCCAGTTACTTTGACTTCTGTACATGCAAGAGTAAGCTTCAGTCTCTTCTGACATCCGCTTTTCTCCTTTCCAAAGAAAAGCCTTTGGCTTTTTTCCCAAATGATGTTCCTGATATCATCCCACAACTCTTCCAGTCTTTGATCATTAGTGTCTAATGCAGAAAATGTGTTCCTGAGACGAACTCGATTCAGATGGGATATGTTTTGGCTCCAGTGGACCTGTTTCAATTTTTGTCAGCTTCAGTATGTGAGCAGGTACTGTCTGTTCCTCATTGGCTGGGGGTATTGAGCTCCTCCATCATCTCTTCCTATAGATGTAGTCAAACTGACTCCGGTGTATTCCATTTACTGAGATCCATGCGTATGTTGTTGTTGTGAGGTAC